ACGTGTTTGCGTAGTTAAATTAAAATAATCGAAACAAAGGCTAAGTTTGTATAAATTCGATCCTCTAAATTTTGAATCCTTCGTTAACAGAAGCACTAAAGAGGATTCTCAGACAAAAAATGACATTCATCTTATTTTCTTCCCTTTCAGGATATTTAAAAAAGGATTTTAATGAAAAAGCATAAAAGTTTCAACTGTTTATAAAAAGAGAAGAGAGTCCAGAAAAATTGCGAGTTAAAATACACTAATAAGCGAAATATAATTTTCGAGGAAATACGCTTACTTCTATAATACAATCAAATTTTTAATATTTATAATGAGGTCTATGATAGATTGGAATGTGCTTGGAACCGACTTCACTCCAAACGGAAGTTTGATTTCGTAGAATCCGCGCTGTATTGCAATATTGCAGAATTTGTTGGAAGTGACGTCGAGTTTTAATTGGAATAGGAATCAGAAATGTCTAACTGTGAAACTATTCGGCCACAGATGAGCATGGGAAAATATTTTCTGGAAGTGGAAACTGGTGCCGATTTAGCTGAATAGCGTCTTGAGACCCGTTGGCACCGCCGTGACAATCCGTTAGGTTTTGTGATTACTATGATAAGAACAGCCCATTCGACATTATTGACAGGTTTGTTGACTCCTCTATATGGCAGGTGATCGAATTTTTCTTCCACTTTCGGTCGTAACTGTTCTGGTTTTGCTTTTGACAGGTGTGACGTCTTGCTTGAACATTAACGAGGTTTCCGTTACCTTGCAGAGTGCCAATCCTTCCTCCAAAACTTCTGAGAAGTTACACTGCAACGATTCGACGACTCAGAAATCCGTCAGAAATCGAATCTCATCGTTCGATTTCTGACGGACGCCAACATTATAGACCTCAGCGGCGAAAAATTAGAAGTGGTGCATACCATCTGTCACGAAGAGGTTGAGAGCCCGTTTCGTGTCAACATAGAACGGTTCTTTGTGGAGTTTGTTGTGACAGAAGGTGATGCGTTGTTTCTCTAAGAATGGTGGCACTAGAGTACTATTATCATACAATCTGGCTCATTCTGTACGTGGCAAGTTTGTGGGTCATCCGCTGGCATCCAACGTCGTTTCGTCGATAATGTTAATCAGAAAATATAGGCCTGACTTCTTTAAATAATACTTTCGTCAGAGGTTCCGCTGCAACTCGGAAAAGCCGACAATCTATGTCATCAGTTCAACTGTCGTCGTGTGACCTACTTTTTCTGAAATAAACATTAAAGTAAGACTTAGTAAAACGCGTACTTTGTTATAAAAAAACGGTCTTCTACAGAATGGCCCACGGAAAATAGCCCACCAGTAGACATGAAGAATGAGCAAGTGGACTGCTTGTCTAAATCTTTAGTGAATTACCCACATGCTAGAACAGATGCTGAAAGTGATTACCCTCCATCTCTATGTATATCTGGGCACCGCGCAGCATGTTAGCCTTTGTCGTGCTCTTTCAATTTTTGCACAAATGTTACTCGATATGGTTTCATATGCAAAAACTTCAACACCCGCTGGCACGTCGTTTGTGATTCATCAACTTGCTGAGACAATCTCTGACTTGATTTTTGAGGGCTATTTTCAACCCGCTGCTGAATGGCACCGACAACTTTGGACGCCTCGATTTCTTCGTTTTTGCGACAGGGTCGGTTTGGCACCACTTCGGCACAAGACTCTGAATGCACCGTTTAGCAGGTGGTTAATGTCAGGGTACTTGTCGGTGAAGCCTTCTTGCGTTTCCTTAATTGATCCGCTTCGCACATAACCTTTCATTATCGTTATTCCGTGTTGCAGGAAAAAACCATCATTCTCACAAGACAAGCACAGAAAGACTGAAATCAAGTGATTAAAATTGAAAATTAACATTGTTTAAAAATCAACAAAAAATTCTAACTTTTCACACAGGGCGACACGACGTCGCCAGAATGATAATCGGCAGAAGGGGTGGAAGGAGATTCACCTCCTTCAATTCAGACTGGGGCGTCTGCTGGGTATAGGAAAGAAGCTACTTTGTCTGAGATGTCTGAATAACACGCTTATAAACACTAAGAAAACATTAATGTATCCAAATAAGTACGTACTGTCCAGTGCAAAATGGTTTTCCTCATCGTGACGTGAATCACGTCACGTAAGTGACGTCATTTGACCTGTCAATCATTTCTACCTGTGCTCCCATTGGTTTAAAATGGACTGCGCCGTTGTATGATTTATTGGGGGGTGATAGGGATGATTCAAGAGGGATTATGTTGAGCACTAAGCTTAAAAATCGTAATCACAACNAAAAAAGGATTTTTCATGAAAAAAGCATAAAAGTTTCAACTGTTTATAAAAAGAGAAGAGAGTCCAGAAAAATTGCGAGTTAAAATACACTAATAAGCGAAATATAATTTTCGAGGAAATACGCTTACTTCTATAATACAATCAAATTTTTAATTTCTATAATGAGGTCTATGATAGATTGGAATATGCTTGGAACCGACTTCACTCCAAATGGAAGTTCGAATTCGTAGAATCCGCGCTGTATTGCAATATTGCAGAATTTGTTGGAAGTGACGTCGAGTTTTAATAGGAATCAGAAATATCAAACTGTAAAACTATTCGGTCACAGATGAGCATGGGAAAATATCTTCTCGAAGTCGAAACTGGTGCCGATTTAGCTGAATAGCGTCTTGAGACCCGTTGGCACCGCCGTGACAATCCGTTAGGTATTGTGATTACTATGATAGGTACAGCCCATTCGACATTATTGACAGGCTTGTTGACTCCTCTATTTGGCAGGCGATCGAGTTTTTCTTCCACTTTCGGTCGTAACTGTTCTGGCTTTGCTTTTGACAGGTGTGACGTCTGGCTTCAACATTAACGAGGTTTTCGTTACCTTGCAGAATGCCAATCCTTCCTCCAAAACTTCTGAGAAGTTACACTGCAACGATTCTACAACTCGAATCTCATCGTTCGACTTCTGACCGACGCCGACATTATAGACCTTAGCGGCGAAAAATTAGAAGTGGTGCATACCATTTTGCCACGAAGAGGTTTAGAGCTCGTTTCGTGGCTACATAGAACGGTTCTTTGTGGAGTTTGTTGTGGCAGACGGTGATACATTCCTTCCCTAAGAATAGTGCCACTAGAGTACTGTTATCATACAATCTGGGTCGTTCTGTACACAGCAAGATTGTGGGTCATCTGCTTGCATCGAACGTCGTTTCGTCGATAATGTTAACACGGAAAAGCCGACAATGTATGTCATCAGTTCAACTGTCGTCGTGTGACCTACTTTTTCTGAAATCAGCATTAAAGTAAAACTTAGTAAAACTCGTACTTTGTTATAGAAAAATGGTCTACTACAGGGTGGCCACGGAAAAGTAGCCCACCAGTAGACATGAAAAATGAGCAAGTGGACTGCTTGTCTAAAGCTCTATTGACGTAAAGACATGCTACAACAGATGCTGAAAGTGATTAACCTCCATGTCTATGCATATCTAAGCACGGCGCAGCATGTTAGCCTTTGTCGTGCTCTTTCAATTCCTGCACAAATGTTACTCGATATGGTTTCATACGCAAACACTTCTACACCCACTGGCACGTCGTTTGTGATTCTCCAACTTTCTGGGACAATCTCCGAGTTGATTTTTGTAGGCTATTTTCAAGTCGCTGCTGAATGGCACCGACCACTTCGGACGCCTCGATTTCTTCATTTTTGCGACAGGGTCGATTTTGGCACCACTTCGGCACAAGGCTCTGAATGCAACGTTTAGCAGGTGGTTTAATGTCAGGGTACTTGTCGGTGAAGCATTCTTGCGTTTCCTTAATTGATCCGCTTCGCACATAGCCTTTCATTATCGTTATTCGCTGTTGCAGGAAGAACACCGTCATTCTCACACGACAAGCACAGAAAGACTTCTGACTTCTGAGAAAAGAGATTAGAGAGCTGTCCGTCTTTTAAGCGACGTACTTAGCCCTTGGAAGTAGGAAAGAAGAGAAAGCATGAGATGTGAAGTGTGAAAAGAAAGAAAGATAGGATAGTGTGAAAGAAGGCATGGGACTCGTGGCGTCTGCATCGGCATTTTTTGAACAAAATAATACAATATATACAATTATAATACAGCTGGAGTCTTTCCAGAGTTTAAGTCCCGACAATGTTTACAATAACTTATATTATGTAAGAAATTAGAAATGCTGATTACATAAGCCCTTGAGGGTTAACAATAATAATTGGAGCAGCGCGGGAATGGGACTATCAATGGTAGTCCTTTCTGCTCCAAATCAAGTGAATGTGGCAAGCATGGCAAGTTGGACTGGTACTTACAGTCTCAACTGCCAAGCAAGGAAAAGAGTATAATTTCAAAGTTTCTTCTCGAAGGATTATTACAATGGTGGGAGACCTTGTAGAATAATTTTAAACCAGTTGGTTAAATTGAAATAATAAAAATATTTACAAGTGACTCATTGCCTTGTTTTGCGTGACCATATACTTCCATGTAGTTTTGTTTCAACGTCCGCTTTCACGCAGAAGTCTCACTCTCTACTCCCCTTTCTTCACCTGTTGTAGTCTGAATTCCTGTATCACTTTCATCATCCTCCCTTCTGATGATGTCTTCCTCTTCTTCCGAGTTGTCAGTCATGTGTTCTTTGTTGTCACTATTTTGTCTGTCATCCTTTTGATGTTTGTTTTTGTGGTTAATTTCAATAAGCACCTTAGTGTCGTTTATATATTTTTCCAAAGCTTTAAACAGGTTTTTATCTGTTACTAGATCAGTGTCTCTCGGGGGCCAATTATGGCCTGCACGTAAGCATTTTTCTATAAAGGTCTCTCGTTGATTATTAAATTTGGTGCATTCCATTAAATAATGGTGAGCGTTGTCTTCTTTAGTGGTATCAATGTCGCAATAGGGATTATCTATTTTCTTGAATCTATGTAAATATGCTTTAAAGTTACCATGATTTGTTATACATTGTGTNTTGGTCATCGAGCCCGATGTCGACTCTATAAAAAGATTAAGTGGGAAGTACACTCCAGCACGGGAACTTCGTAAGTTTAATTTGGTTCGTTACTTCGGTTTTATTTAAAATACGGAAAAACGATCGGCTCAGTAAGTCTTCACGTTCTTCCAGGTGCTATACCAAGCCATAAATTTCTCGTATTCATTGTTGTATGTGTTCTTTGATTACTTGGAATTAAAAACAATTCTGCCTCTTTAGCTGCTTCTAATGTTTCTTCAGGTAAGACTTCTGGCAATTCATAACTTTCTCATCCAGTGCAATAAAATCAACCTCTGATGTGCTATAGAATTTATATGGCCAATTAATGTTCCAATTCGTTTATAATTAGCGATTATGGCATACATGGAAATTGACCCATTCGTTTTTCTCGTGACAGATAGCTAACGCTACATAATATTTAAAATATATTTAAAAATTAATGTTGCTGTAGAAATTGATAAATTTTAACAAGTTTCATCAAAGACAAGAGAATATTTTTCATTTGCAAGCGCAGTAAATGATTTATTCTCCGACGCACTTGACTTTCACAAAAAATCTATACGCAGGAATAAATAATAATTTGATAATGCTTATATCTATTTCAAGATAATATCGCAAAAATTAAGCCATTTAATCTGTGTCTGGCTTTTATAATTTACAGATTATGAATAATTTACTGTAAAATTCAATTTAGTAAACAGAAACAGAGATATGATATTAACCTCAATCACAATAGAAATCTTTATGGTAAAGAACGAAAACCGATCTATTACGAATACTAGGAATTTTGATTCAGATCCGAATTCGGATTTTTCTGAGTGCTGGTCCTCGAAAACCAAATACCACAATTATTTAATATTGTAAAATGGTTACTATGGTACAAGCTTATTCATAAATAATGTGGTACTCTATTCAGATGCAATTGTGAGATAAGCAGGTCACTGGATCAATCCGTAATGACCACTTACTTTGCACGGGCTGGTAAAGCCCGACCTCTGTGTCGTCGGATGGCTAAAGGAGGGCAAACTGGAGTTTGGAAGGTCGTGAGCGAGTCGACAGCCGTCCTTGGATAGACAGGAGACAAGTTTAAAAATTAAACAAAGCATTTATTAACATCTAAGGTTAACATACAAGAGATTAGATGCGATTAAATACTAAATATATACAAAACGGCTGCTCTTAGCTAAATCTATTCCCGTTGCAAGGGAAAGAGTTTACAAATCGCTAACAAAAATACCTCTGAGAAATGCGTAGATAATTTCGTAGGAGTCGCAGTCCTACGAAATTATATGGCAAACCTTATGGAAGTCCGAAGACGTGATCTGTCTTCAACCGGTGTCTTGTCCTCTTGTCGGATCTGTTCCGTTGTATGGACATCCGTAAGATGGACTGCGCAGTTTCCAAGTATAACTGCCAGTTCGATCGCCTTGAACGTCCGGGAGATCGAGCTTTTATTTACTTGTCATGGGAAAGAGGTCACGTGATCGCCCGTGTTGACGATAACGGTGCATTTTCTGACACCTATGTGTCAACTTTTCTATCTAATTACTGACAGTTAGGATGACATCCGATCCGGAACTATTCGATAGTTTTTTTTTATCGGCGAATGTTTATATTTAATTATTTTTTTTACTAAAATGGGTTAAAACAACTCCCAAATCTCGTGGATGTCACTTTAGACTTTCTTGTCAGCTTATAGAATTTTGTGAAAAAATTAATTAGCTTAAAAAGTATTATTAAAAAATTAATAATTATCGTTTGTGTACTAAATAAATAAAGAACAAAATGGAAATGGCAAGACACATTGGAAGAATAAAGGATAATAAATGAACAAAAAGACTAATGAAATGAATACGAGAGTACGAAACGAGAAAAATCGGGCAAAGAATAATTTAAACAGAAAATCAGAACATCACAATGAAAGGCACTGACAAAAGAAAGAAAATATTAAGCAGAAGTCTTTATCCTGCAAGGAATAATTAAGATTGCTGATGTTATAAATTACAGAGTATCGTGCAAAACAAATTTAAAAATATATCTATGAAATTATAAATTAATTGAAAAAATTAATAATAAGTCCAAAGAATATATATACAGTTAATTGCATATTTTAATGATAAATAAAATTTACCTTTGAATTGTTCAGTTAAGATATTTTCTGTTAAATGAAATACAGTGATACCTCAGGATACGAAATTAATCCGTTCCGAAACTGAGATCATATCATGAAAATGTCGTTTGGTGAATCATTTTTCCCCATACGATTACGCGTAAAACCAAATAATCCGTTCCAATACGAAAAACACACTCAAATTAAAGCTAAGTGGTAAATTAAAAAAAAATAACTATAGTAAGGAAAACACTGAAAATGCGTGTTGTAGTTGTAAATGTATAAATAACCATAACAAAATAATAATTGATTAAAGAAAAAATGTTTTATTTGCAATGACGAGGATAGACGACGGTGGAGGTGTAAACTAGTGGCGAAAGACAGGGAGAAGATAAATGATACTAAAACTTAACTTCTATAACATAATATAACAATAACTTAAAAATAACTTAGAAAAGATAAAAAATTAGTGTTGTTTTATACATATTTTTAAAATTTTTATTCATTTCTTTTTGCTTTCTTTTCTTCACTTTCGCCAGCACTTTCACTGGATAATGGTCGCTTGGTAAAAAATCTATCCAAAGAGGTTTGGCTTTGCGTACTTTTTAAAATGTCTCTAAAATGACTTAGGCAAATGTCATTACTCCGAGCAGCAATACGGTCAGTGTGAACCTNAGGTAATTTGCAGAGTATCTAGGTAATCTGCACATTAACGGCTTTCGTATCGTTAAAGTTCAAAAGTTTGTTTCTTTCACTTCCTTTCCCTAATTTTTCTTTTTACTTAGATAAATTTAAATCCTAGAATGCAAGCAAGCCCCGAATTCGTGAGTAAAATCAAGAAAAGATTCTTCGCGAACCTCTTTAGCGAAGATTTAAAATATAATACGTAGTGATTTAATAACAAACCAAAGTATGATTCCATAATTGAAGATGTAAAGCAAATAAAAGTTTCCAAGAAGAAAGAATCATCTCGAGATTATCAAATAATTCAAAGGTGTGATGTGTTGACTGTACGAGGCTGTGAAAAACTCATTGAGCCGTTGTCAGATGCGCGAGAAAGGTTTGAAAAAGTTTGTCCATGCCGGAGAATTGTTTGACATTCGATAAAAACTGAAGAAGACCTTGAAAAATTAGAAGATTCACAAGAGACTG